TCCGTTATATTCTTTTTGATTTCGTTTTGCATTATTTTCCACTTGGACTTCTAAGAAGTCCGAATGGTAGTTAAAACTAGGGTTGTACAGTTTTGTTTACAAAGTTGCTTCTGGAAATTTTGGTAGAATGAAAAGTTTTGCTTGTCGCTATCCGCTTTATTTTCGGCGGGAAAATGTGGCGGCCATAAGTATAGCCGGGATTTTTTCGTGAACCTGTTGTTGCAGACTACAGAATATGCGACGGGTTTCTAGCTTTCTGATTGGCTTTAACTTTAGGACATGGAATAAATGCAATGTGGGCCTTCTGCCGTGCCATATCCCTGGGCGCAATAAATAAGGTTTAGATCAGTTATTGCCTTCTTGTGTGCTAATCACTGGCTAATACCGTTGAAAAGTCACCATACTCAAAGTTGACATTCATCACAGCTTTTAGTTTTAGAGAAAGTTTTCTCACGATCCGTCTGTTCTGATCACGTCATTTTTAATCGTGCCTTGGTGGTCGATATTTGTTCAGATCTAGAAGACTCCGTTATTGTGGGAAGCAGCGGAAATTACCTGAGGATTTTAAGAAGCTGGCTTTCCCCTGTGGCACGAAGCGTGAATTCTGCATGGAAGCGCTGTTGGCGTGCATCTGCGGACGGTTGGGCTGGAAGTACATTTCACTCGCGATGTGATGGCAAGGGACCAACTGTAACAATAATAAGGGCCGGAAGGTATATTTTTGGGGGATACACTAGTGTTTCATGGGGTAAGTGTACATTATGAACAGGGATAATTTTACTACGGTTACAAGCTTTGTTATAAAGATAAAAACAAAGTTATATATATTACGGAGTATGAAAATAACGCAGCCTTTGGATACACTGATAAAAAGCGTTGTTTTTATGGATCTTGTTCTAGCCTCGCTCCACCTCTTTCCTTCGCATCCCATACCCATTCTCTCTCCAAGTGCAACGATATATTTAAAGCATAGGCTGAATATTTTCTGAAATGACAGAGTTGTTTGTAGACTAAATCATTCAAGGATCCGGTTCAGTCGGTGACTCCTTGACAGTGCTTAGTCATGTAACTGAGGGCGCTTACTGTTTTCAAATTCTTACCTGTTTCATTATAAAAATGACCGGTTCCAGTGACCATTTTTTTGTTGGTGATCGACCATATTATCGCTCTGACTTCTTTAGGGAGGTATTAAAAAATCAATTTTTATCCTGTGGATTTGAGACAGAGAAAAGATTACAAAGTTAGATGTAACTTTCAAATCAAAAGGCGTATTACGATGGAAAGATTAGGAATATCTTTAAAAAACCTAAATCGATGGAAAGAGGATTAGGGGCATTGCGAAATTACTAGATTCAAACAAACTTTGGAAGGGTGAAAAAAAATAATTTAAATGACCACGGATTAAAAGGCTGAGATCTAGAAAAAAGGAGGAGGGTTCTCAATCGCAATGGAGTAGTAGTCGTAATCGGAGACACAAGCCAGAGGCACCCATGATCTTGTAAACAACAAAAATCGAAGCTATTAGGGTGACGGATTCAGCTTACTCCACACTGCGCTTAAAACTTAGAAAATGAACATAAATGTAAATGGAGTTGTGGCATTTGTATCGGTTCTGCGTTTATTTAACAATTATTCCTCGAGCCCGAACGGGCTCTATAAGTCAATACCCTATGAGGCCGAAGGCCGAATGGGCTATTGACTCAGAGGCCATGAGGGCGAGAGGAATAATTGTTTTAGTAAAATCCAACTAGTTGGTAAAAAATATCGAGAATAAAAAAATTTTAGCTAGTTAAAGCCAGATTTTAACCCTTTTTTTGCCGCCAAAAAGCCCGCGCTTTTCGCTACTAGTGGGCTATAACATAGAGCCTAGTAGTAGCTCAACCAATCAGAACGCAGCATTGATAATAGACCACTAGCTGGATTTAACTAATATTTCTTGTACTTTGGTAACTATGATTGCAGAGTTAAGAGTTGCTTTGTTTTGTTTTGACAAATAAAAAAATCAACTACAACTCAAACAAGTTTATGAGAAAAGTAAATATATTAACAAACATTTATTTCGTGACTGTGTGACTCTTTGTACATGGGAGATGGTTTCGCAAGTGAGTATCAAGATGGCGTCGCTAGTGACCGCTGTTATCCATTTCTTTTCTTTCTGATAGAGTCCGGCAATAAGTATCAGTACGACTCCAAAGCCTTTCTGTTTTCACTGGTGAACAAGCCAGGATGGGCACCTGTTAAACTGCCTCAAACAGGAACATATAGTTCCGGAGCGAATTCCTTACGTTTTCGTTCATCGTATGGGCCCACATTCGGAGGAGGATTTGACATTCACATTTCCAACTCCGCGTCATCCAATAGCAATTCATATAGCCGGCTTGGCCATACTTACAGTCCACCGAGCGGGCACAGCTACGGCAGCACCTTCGCCCGAACATTCCTGGCAGGAACTTACCCGTTCACTCCAGACGAAGTAGAAACCTTTTACGAGTCAAACTAAAAAAAAAAAAAAATTAACAATAGGCCACGTCGACTTAGTTTGATGTTAATATCGATAGTCTGCAATGTAATTAAGTCGTTAAAAAAAATTCATTTTAAACTTGTCCTGTATCAGTATATGTAAGAAACGAGAAAAAAAATAGGACCTACATTGGGAACACTAAGCAAAGGTCTATTCCTTTAGTGGAACCTCAAGTAAATATACCAAAACCCGTTCGTCCAAAAAGAGCACGACCTATCCTTATATTTACTAAACTTCTTTTCACTGTTTGCCCATTAAACATTCGCTACATTTTGGCCTACAGGGCGGACCTATTTTTGATTTTTTGAAACAAACAAACAAACAAACAAAAAAAACAAAAGCTTACAAACTAGATCAAAACTTGAATACTAAAAGCATAAAGAATATATATTTAATAAAAAGCAAAAACTTCAAAATAAATATGAAAAGGTTAAAAATGAAAACTAAAAGACGAAAAGAAAATAGAATAACAAAAAAGTAAAATCAAAACGAAATGTAATGTAATTAGAAAGTGGAAGCAGGACAAATTCAGTTTGAGGCCTTAAAAAGGAAAACTTAAACAAACCTCAAGTAGTGGAAAGAATAAACTCAAAACGACAAATAAAAAAGTGAAAAGCAAAAAGTATAAAATGAAAAAGGAGAGGGAAAAGAGAAAAGAAAATCGGTCAGTGACCGTCCTGGGCTTCTTTCTGCCGGGATCTCCATGACTACGCGCTGCTTGGTGAACGCGAGCATTTCACATACGCTTTTATCTTTGGCTAATTCTAAGGCCCCTTCCACACTAATGCAGTAGTTTTGTTTGAAAACGCTGAGCGTTTTTATCGGAAACGAATCGATTTGAAAACGATCTTGAGAGAGATTCAAAACAAAAACTCATACATATCGTGTTAATGTGGATGGTCGAAAACGGTCAAAAACTCATCAAAATGAAAACGATGAGCGAAATATCGTAGGTGCTTGTGTTTGCAGCATGCGCATACTAGAGTTCAACATACGTCGCAATGAGCAATTCTACCGTTTTCGAACGGTAGTGTCTTGACAGCCGGAAACGCATCAAAACGCCGGTAATGTGGACGCGAATCGATCGATGTATTAGTGTGGACAGGGCCCAAATAGGGAACGGCAACAAGAACGTCAAAAAAGCAATCTGTATTATCAAAACAACAACTATGCACGCGAATCACGCTTTTTGTACTTTTCTGTGCCTTCACAGCACCACTACGACGAGAAACTGCCTAATTTCACGTCTTGTGGAGGACTTGAACCAAGACAACGATTTTCTATTTCAGTTTTTCTAACATAGACACAGTCCTTTAGGATTCAACTCCAGAAAAATTCACTTACATTTGATTAATTGAACGACAAGGAATAAGAGCAATGAACTTGGAAACAGCATGAATTCACTTTTCAAGAGAGATTTTCTCCACCTTTCGTCGTCGCCGTCGTCGTCCGTTAAGAAGGTTAGGGCAAAAAAAACATTCTCCGAATCTGTCTTACGCACAGGCATAAATCTTGAAAAGACAGTGACTTCATTTATTGAATGGCTTTAATTTTTTGTCATTGATTGTGTCACAGTGAAAGCCAGAAAATGTTTATACAAAAGTTTTGGCCAATTTGCGGTTTCATGAGCTTTGAGGAAAGTGAACATGGTATGCGATCAATATCAAAATTGTCTTATTAGAAACAAACTTTTAAAGCTCATTTGAAGTTCTTCTGTGGAAAAATAATTACTTTGAAGTTTTTAAATATCAATCGACCTGAAATATTTTTTAGTTTATTCAGCCTATAGTGGAGAAGCTGTCCAACGGTCCTCTCCCGTTGTGTGAAAGTTGAATCAATACATACAGACAAGCAACAGGAATAAAATTTTCTAAGAACAATGTCATTTTAAGTATGAATAATTTTAAATTTTACTTTACTTGAACTGATATTTTTACGTTTATTTCTAAAGCCTATGGTGGAAATTCTCCTTATACATAAGTCGACTTCAGTTTTCTGTAAATTGAATTAATACACACAGAGAAAAGAAACTGGGAATGAAAGTTCCAAAAAATATATTCTGAAATACCAACAAAGTGTAGAGCGAGATCTGTTTCAGGGTGCTACCGAAGTAAAAGGCTACTCTGGACGACGGTACATACACAGTAAAGATGACTAAGGACAAAATGCCTGAGAGATGTGCCAGAGATTTGTCTTTAAGACAGTTCCTCCACGACAGTAGTGACTCCAGCGATATATTTTCCGTTGCCTTATCCAGAGAGAAGATCAACCCTTCTAATGTATTTTCCACCGCCTCAGTGCAATTTTCTTTAGGTGCGAAACAAGAATAGAGAAACTTTAGGTCGAGAACGTTGAAGATCAACAAGGAAAAGATCGCCAGGTTCGCAATATCTCGACTTAACTCTTGAAGGGGCCAAAACAGGATTGCGAAGTTCATGATTGCCATACCAGGCAACGCCGCCGATATTATCACTGTAGGAGTATCAGTCCGCGAACCTTTTGTTCAATTTCGCTCCCCAAAATTGCAAACATCACAAGTGAAACAGGTTTAAAAGTTCAAGAATTTCCACAGTTTCCTTGAGACGTCTTAGTGTACAGCAATACTCGTAGTTGTCGTCGATATAAATGGTCCACGCGTACATGGTCACTGTCACTAGAAAAACTATTTGATAAACAAACTGACATGTCATCCAAGGAACCAGGTATCTGTACTTGTTTTCTTTCCTGAAGCAGCAGCTTAAAAGCCTGAAGAGCATTCGTATATTAGAAATGAATCCTATGCAGTCAAGAGCTACAATTACAAGCAAGAAAAATGGCAGATTCATATCTTTTCCCAGTCGATCGTTATTCTATAAACTTATTTTGGACCAACACACTGAAGCAAGGCGGGCTTATGAAAGGGTCTTCAAAGCCTCAGGGCACTAACTAATGGCGTGTGTCATAACACGGCGCATGTGCAAGTCGTGATAGTAGCCTATTGTTCAATTCAGTTTTATATCCCCACTTTTCATATTCATCTGTGCTATTCCCCCCGAAAAATACAAGTTGCAGATTAACAACCCTTTTCTGCTTTGAAACAAATATTTACCTTCGTGTTTGTCTGACTTTTGTCACTTTTTTTATTTTAATGATAGAAGTGAGCAATTCGCTAAATTGTTGACCCAATGCCATCCACTTACGGAGTCCCAGAAGAGGTCAGTTGGGTCGGAATAAACGGCGGCGAAAGTTTTTAAGAACAGGCAAGAGAGCCCTTGGAATGCTACTCTTAACGAACCAATTCCACGACTCTTGCGGATACTTGTCTAGTATATATAGTAAAAACCCAGCTAAAACCACATATAATAACCTAGTGATTTAAGAGCCTACAAGCTGAATTTGGCATTTAAATGCCCAAAAATATACGAACCTGTTCAGCCTGAAAAGAAAAATAGGCCCTTATACAAAACAATCACTCCAGTTTTGATGGTCAAAATTCTCGATTTTAATTGTGTGAGAAACTTTTGACAAAAGATAATAGTGTATATGTTTCCTTTGATTTACATTTGTTTGGAGTTTCACTAGAAGTATATGTTTTCCATAAAGCTACCTTGCTATAGAAACGATTTAAAATCTAAATATCTTATTTAAAAAATGTAGAAATGTATTGATGTTCTTCTTGGACCTTGAACTTGATATGTATTGGTGGTACAATATTTCTGCCAATGATTACACTATGACAACCTAATCAGCCTGAATTGTGAAAAACTACACTAAAATATAAGAACCTGTTCAGCCTGACCTCGAAAATTCTAGGTTCTTATATGTGGGTTTTTACTTTTCTTCAACTTAAGAAAGTCCCTACCTTTTTATATACCTGAAGCATGAAAAAGGGCCCCCAGCTGCAGTTGGGCGGAGCCTTCACGTATAGGCGAAGACAGGCGAAGACCGATTTCAAAACCGTCCATCCGGACGAGATTAATGTTTTCAGTATAGGAAAGAATTTTCGGTTTTCAAGTAAAAAAGTGTACCTATGGACATGTGTAAAATTCGCTGTAAGATTGTTAATTCGCAGTTAACTGTTTTTAAGCAAAAAAACGAAAGAAAAAGCTCATATATGAATCAATACACACCACAGGTAGCCCAAGCTCGAAATATATAATATAGGTTTAAACTTTTATATAGAGAGAAAACCGTTCACATAAAGACCCATAAAACGACCATAAATCGGCCCGTGGACCACACAGGAGAGATGTAACACACATTTTAAGTAAGGTAAGCTGTTTTCTATTGAAATCCTTTCATTTTCGTAGGTTACAGAAACGATAGGTTTTTTTCCCATACAAATCCTTATATTTTGAATGTTACGCAACAATGCCGATGCTCGCCGATGCTCATATTTCGAGCCTGGGCTACCTGTGTACACACTGATTCAAAGACTAAATTTACTAACATCACTGATGAGAAGTGGATTCGAAAAGCCCGGCGAAGTATTGTGGGAAAGGTTCCGGCACGTTCGGATGATATTGGTCAAATATCACTAGGTTATCTACATAACAGATCAGCCTTGATGTCAGTTGGTACGGAATAATGAGAAAATGAGTCCCCTGCCTTATTTGCTTTCAATAGTGGGTCTTGACATACTGGGATTGTTCTTCAATATACGAATGCTATTAGGCTGCCTTAGAAAGAAAACAGATACCTCACGCCTTGGGTAATATGTCAGTTTGTTTTTCAAGTCACGATTCTTGTCGCTGTGACCGTGGATGCGTGGAACAAACACGTCGATCAAAACTATGAATATTGCTGTTTACTCAAAGAGCTGCAGAAGACTGCGGTATTTCTTGCAGTTTGTAACTTCGCACAGTTGGAAGCTGTTAGTTTGGACAAGCCCGAACACCCATTAAAACGAAAAATTCGCTCAGCATCTCCTTTAAAGTTGGTATCAGCGACATGGGAATGACAATTACAAACGCTGCAATCCTTTGGCTTCTGCAAAGGTT